CTCTTCCGAAAGTTGCTATAGGCTGCGGCTAAGAGCAGATCACAGCTCAGAGTAAAGAAAACAAGCTGCCACATTCTTTCTTTCTGTCGGTAATAAACCACCAGCTCAGCAAACTTCAAGGCGCATGAGACTCCCCGGCGCTAAGCTGCCCTCTCAGACACGGGGCTCTGCGGCCATGGCTCAGGGTCCATCAGTGAAGGTCTCCTCTTCCCCCCTTTCCCAGCAGTGACCTTGATTTCTAGCGCCGTCTTCTCCCCGGTCCCGCAGCAAGCTGTCAGATCGCAGGAGGAAGAATCCTCCCTCGTGAGGGCTGCATTCGCCTGACGGATCAGCCTCAATGCTCCTTTGTCTCTCTTCCCCCAGATTCTGCGGTGTCAGGATCCGAATCAATCACTTTCCTTTCCTTATATGATAAGTTGATAACAGCAGCCAGACATGTGTAGCTGGCTGCTCCGCCCTCCCGGCTTGTCCGTTATCTTCCTGTAGGGGGGTCACTAGCCAGGCCACAGGAAAAATCTCTGCATGATGTGTACTGTCCAACCAGGACTGTATGCTGCAGGAACCCTCTGGGAAAAAGCGATCAGTTACAGGACCCCTGGGTATTTCAGAGGCACCACCCTAATTGAGTATTTCCTAGAGAGAGCTTGTCGGTCTCTTGTGTCTGAAACTGATTTCACAGTGCTAAGCTGGTAAAATATCTGGGGCAATAACTTTAAAGTACAATGAAAGTTCCTGTTTTTTCCTTTAGGAAAAAAAATACTACAAATATGTCAGGACTTTGGTTTATTTTTGTTATGACAAACAAAGAGGAAGAGGTCTTGCTCTTCTAAACGCTTTGCCTTTTCATAGGGAGAACAGTTTCGTTGGTATTACTTGATTTGTGAACCATTAGCCAAGTATGCAAAACTTTCATCTTAAAACAGTGGGATAGGAACATCTCGCTTTATTAAATCGTGTTAGGAAAGTCAGTTTCTGCGCTCTGACATTTCATCTTTTAAGCAAAATATCCACTTCGGTATTCAAAGTAAACTTAAAATATACTGGACTGATTAATGGCCCGCTAAATTATAATCCATAGAGAAATCAGAATTTAAATAAGAGGAGGTTGAGAGAGGCATACCTAAACTTCTCCTTCCTTAGGTCAGGATTTGCTCAAATCCCGTCATTTTGTAACACATTATCCAGGATCAGTTACATCAGTCCTGCTCAGTGTTGGACTCGGGCAAATCACTTCTTTTTAGTTAAGCTATAAAGTCCTCATCTGTCAAATTCAGGGGTTGCATTAACTCCCAAGATTTTTCCGTTTCAATTCTGTGGCTCCATAAACCCTCCAGGGTACTTCCTTCAGTGGCTAAAGCTTAACACTTCGGAGATTGACAGTGTGCTTACTCACCAGCCAGCTTGTGCAAGGAGGCGGCCGGGTTGGGGGGACGGCTTGGAGCCCTTGCGGTGGTCTCTTAACGCCTCAGTGCACAAGGTTTCTCTCCAGGCAGCGGCAGCCTGTTCAGCACTGACCTTATGGACCTCATCCATCCATAAAGCCAGGGTCAGTCTAATCGTGCAAGATCAGATTTCAGGGGACTTTATGATTTTAATTCTTGGATGACTGAGATTTGTATAGTGAATCGTTTCAAGAGACCTAATAATTATACGTTTAAAAACGTCCCTCCTGTGCACGGCCTGGCTCCGAGTTTACCTCCAGAGCAGGGGGGTTCTTGACCCAAGGTCCCCGGACAGAATTCCTGGGGTCCACGAACGTTGACAGGAAAAGACACCTTTATTTTTCACTGAAGTCTCACTGAAATATAGCCCTTCTTTTAGCTGTGAATAGGTCAGAAACAACAGTGGTCAATAGCTATGGCTTTCTCACAAATAGGAATTGCAGATGTTTTTATTACGATATCTCAAGCTATTACGTGCACTCAGCACTACATTGTCATTTGATCTATCCCAAGATCCTGTTATTTAATCTCCAAATAAAACAGCCCGTGTCATTTTCTGAGAAGGGGTTTGTAGACTTCCCCAGACTCTCAAAGGGCTCAGTGGCTCAGGAAAGCTAGAACCTGATTCTGGCACATGGTTTCCACTAAAGGAACGAATTAAAGAAGATATACTCATTCAGACTGCTAACTGTAGGCGGACGCGTGTAGGATTTGAAGACGGGACCAGTGTTAGAACCCTGATTCACTGAGATCTGAAGCAAATGCTTAACTTCTCTAAGCCTCAATGACCCTACTTGTGAAATGAGATGATTCTTTCTCAGTAGCACCTTTAGAGTTATAATGATACGGAATGATACGGAATGATACGGAATAATGCATGTTACTTAGGAATATTACTTTCCTTTCTTTATCAGCACCTCACATTAAATGAAAATCAGCTCTTGCACCATCAGATATTATAACTGTGTTATTCTCTGGCTGAACATGAAGCAGAAACATGGGGTGCACCTTTTTTCTTCTAAGTTTCTTCCTCGTTTGAAAGTGCATAGTATAAGGCATTAATATTGCATATGTGGTTTTAAAAATCATCCATCTGCCTCCCAGGCAGATATGATGGTTTAAAAAGAAGGAAGA